TGCTGAATTTGTTTCATTTTCATATAGTTAATCCCTATTTGCAATGAATTACCAGTAGAAGATTTTGTGAGCATTAATATCTGTCATTTTTGTTCTTGAAGGAATGGATTTCTCAACATTTATCATTAAAATATAAAATCAACATATAAAATCAACATATTTTCTAAGATTCTGATAGATGTTACCTATTGTATTTTATTAATACCTATTCACTCATATGAAATTATTTTGCTTTTTATACAGTCCCTTTGTTGCTTATTATACTATTTAAAAGCTTATTCATGCTGTGCAATTATATATACATATATATATAAACTGTGAATCATAAACACATTAAAATTGCTCATTTTTTCATAGAAAAAAATGTGAAATACTTATATTTTAGTTCCTTCATATTCCCTTTATCCCTCTTCAAAAGAAAAGTTAAAAGATAGTCAAAGGCTTACTGTCCAGGACTTAGTGATTCTGAATGTTCTCATATTTCATCTGTTATTTTTTTTTATTTTTTTTAATATTAAATTTTATTTTTATATTCCCCCATACAATTGCAAACGCCCCATTCTGACCCCAATCCTTCCCCTCCCGCCCCCCACCCCCCAAAAAGTGTCTCTGGTTCATAGTTTTTTGTTGATTTTGATTTTCACTTTCTTATATTCATTTTCCTGGTCCCTTATTTAAGTTTTCTAGATTCCTGCTATGAGTGAGACCATCCGGTATTTTTCTTTTTCTTTTTGGCTTATAGGTATTTACCCAAAGGACACAGAAACATCATCTGTTATTATATTGATCTTTTTAAACATATATTCACAATGGATGTTTTTCTGTAATCACTGTTATGGTTAATTGTTTTAACATTTTACATCATATACAACATTTTTACAACCTTTTCTAAACACTTCTAGATTGATCAAGTGTGATTTTTTCAGGTTTCCACAATTATGCCCTCATTTAACTTCACAAACTGGCCTCCCTCTAGTCTTCATAGAGCTACGCTGGCTGAAAAATAATTCTGATAAGGCTCCAAATTTTCCTGTGCACATGGGCTGTGCCAAAAAGCAAAGGTTCACTGTCTTTGGGGCAGAGTGGCAAGGAAGAGCCCCAGAGCCCTCGGTGCTTTTTTTCAGGCTTTAATGCTCTCTGGGAGCAGAGAGGGGGTGTCAGGAGGTAGATAGGCAACCCAGCCCTGAAGCCCCCTTTGAATTTTTACACTTTTCCTCTGGGCTCTCTCACGCATTCTCTCATGGTCTCGCCTCTTCTGTAGTCACTGGTCCTCTGGTAGCCACCCTCCTGTAGCCTTGGCCTCCAGGCTCAAGTGTGCACCCCCACGCATACGTGCACCCCCATACTCCAGGTGTCACAATCAGGCATGTGTGCCCTGCACCCACCCCCCCCCAGAGGCTTCTGCATTAACACAAACAAGGCTGCAGGTGATAGCCAGAGGCTAGTGGTGTAAAAAGCCTAATCAATCTATTTACCTTACAATATGCTATTTCTGGGGGCTACTTCCTTTAGTTTTGCATAACCAAATATCTTCTGTAATTTACAACCCAGTTCAAAAGCTCTCCACCTGTATTAGAGCTGCCTGTTCCATCTGATGGTGTCATATTTCCCTCTTTTGGGTTTCTAGAGCAACTTTTTTTCTCTTATAATATCTTCTCCATTATTTAGAATTAAACATACATATTGTAAACATAATGTAAAATTTTCTGGAGACCCCCATTGATCTGGTAGGCAATTCACAAGCCACTTTCACAAATCCTGTGTGCAGGAATCTGCTTTGCCTGAAGGTGTGAGGGGAGGAGACTGGACCCAGCATCAGCACATCTTTGGAGAAGAAAATTTAGAGCTGGAAGTCCCTCCCATTAAGAATTGTTAAGTTCCTGGTGTCTATGCTTCTGGGTATATAAACCAAATTCAAACATGGTTATTGGAATAGCTTCCACGGGGTAAAATCTGGTGGGCTGCTTCCCAGGTTTGAAAATCCTTACTTTGATGATCTAATAAACTCTTTAACTCTTTGCCTCACTATTGTTGGGAGTCTATTTCCATTAACAGTATTCTCTCTCCCTTTATATAGCAGGCTCATTGAGTGCAACATTTTATTCCATTTTCTCCTCTAGCAGCATCTAGCAAGCTAACACATACATTATAGAAATCGCATATATTTTGGATGGAAAGAATAAGAAATTTTCATGTGAGAATTTGTTGGGTAAATGAATTAATCAGGATTTTTATGCCACTAGCCTCTGTGGCTGTCACTTGCAGCCTCGATTGTGATGACACAGAAGGTGCTCATGGGCACAGGGCACACGTGCCTGATGGTGGACTTCTGGAGTGTTGCTGTGCAAGTGTGTGCACCTGAGCCTAGAGGTCTGGAATATAAAGGCGGCATCACTCAGAGCTGGAGTAAGAAGTGGAAAGAGGACTATGAAAGGACAAGTGACTACAGAAGAGGCAAGACCATGAAAGAAAGCTAGCGAGAACCCAGGGGAAAGCGTGTAGAGAGAGTCAAAGGGGGCTGGGAGGCTCAGTTGCCTCCTGAGCTCCCCTACTCCCCCACCCCCACCCGCCTGCCTTGCTCCTTGTTGCCACTACAGAATGTATAAATATTTAAATGGCTAGAATGGCCTAGGAATTCTGAGCCTTAAGCCCATACATTTTCTAAAGGAGCTGATATTGGATGTTCCCTAAAAGTCATGGGAAGTATTTTGTACCCCAAAACCAAGCCTCTTTAACCACAAGCATAACCATTGTTCATTTTATCTTTCTCTTGTCTGAATCGCATGATTTATAGCTGTAAATTCATGTTGTGATTTCCCTCCTTAGTCATGCCCTATCACTTGTCATGTATTTTCTTAGATTATTGTGTGGAAAGATTTTTTACATTATTTCATCCTAAATTCTGAGTGCCATCCAAAAATTTTTAATCACGGAATTAGTAACAAACAAAAACAAAAAAAAAATCCTTGATATTGATTTTCAGTGTGTTAAATAGGAGGCTAGCATGAAGTTCTTTAAAATATGCACAGAAATTTGAAATATAAAACCTTGAGACTGTAAAGAAATGTCGATATTATAATGAAAACAAAACATGTTTTGAACTGGAGTGGCTACTAGGCCTTTGTGCTTGCATTAGAAGTCCAGATATTTCTGTTTTATGTAATTATTAGAAGTATACATTTGCCTTACCCTTTAACTAGCCTGCCTGTTTTCTAGGTACCACTGGTGCTTTTAAATCATTCTCCTCAAAGAACTCATGCAATTGTCACACATTGTAGGCAACAACAGTAATTCCAAAATGTGTCAAAATCTGTCACAGATCTGCTTCATTATTTAGTTAAGCTTGAAAAAAAGATATTTTATCTCTATACAAAGGCATTTTTTGTATAAGAAATTACATACAAACACAACACAAAAGGAACTGCACGAGAAAAGAAAATTGACATTTTGATTTGTGGACTCTCCAGTAGGTCTATCATTCATCCAGAAAAATATCACTATTGTCACTCTTCTCAGGCAGGGAGACTAATTGGTGCAGCTGTGGCAGAAGGCAGTCTTTCTGTGGGGAAAGCCGCTTGCAAAGAAATGGAAGGCGCTAAAGGACTTGCAGGTGTTACAAATTGAGTCTAAAAGAGGAGACTGTGTCTGATTAGATAGAGCTAGAGATGTATAGATGTGTCTTCCTAAACACGGAGTTACTAATATGCTTTTTTTGTGTGGATGACAGTTCATTCGCTGAGGAAATATTTTCGAATTTGTGCTCTGTACAAAGCAATGTGCTAGTCACTTCCTTTTGCTTAAAAAGCAAACGAAATTTGACATGATGGAAAAGGTGGTGAAGAATCAACACAGAGATGAACTCGCTCTCTGAGGTCATGCAGTGCCTTGTTTGGGTTTTCTTTCAGAATGTAACTCCCCTCCAGGTCATTCTAGAGGCCATAAAGGTGGAATGATAGCTAACATTTGCCAAGGTGCAGGGAGATGAAATCATTTGCCCAAGGTCATATCCAGGTTTCCTGATTCCCAGTTTAGTAAAACCAATTGTACCTACTCCTCTGTAAACCAGCCAGAGAACAGCCATGACCACAGCCTCCACTTACCCCATCTGATCCTTTAATAAGAATTATTATTTATGATTTTGGGATAATGGTCTCTTGCATGCCAAGCTGGAGATCAGGTGAAAAAAAGGAGGAAGAAGATTGGAAGGAAGAAAAAGTCTTAGACGCGCCCACCACTGACCCCCTACAAAGACTACTTTAGCATTATACTCTTAATGCTCTTAATGCTTGAGGGTTATACTCTTAATGCTTATACTCTTAATGCTTGAGGGTAAATCATGGGTTGTACAATGAGAAGGCGTATTATTTGGACAATCTTGGATAGGTGTTTAACCTCTAAAGATTACCACTTTCTCACCATCATAGGGCTACTGTTATCAAAGCATTTCTTATTATCTGGGTGTTATTGAGGACGGAAGCTATATTGTATTTATCTATGTAAGCCTAAAGCCTAGACAAGGACATATCAAACATTAAATGATAAATAACTGTCAAGTCAAAGAATAGCAGAAATAAAATATTCTTATCTAACTCACGGAATTGCTGTAAATGAAAGAGAAACACTGAAAACACTGTAAAATTTTAAAATCCTATGTAATTGTAAATGAATATAACACTTGTGCTTATCATATTATACTAAGTGATATTTCTTTGTGCTAGTTTAATTTGTTCTTATAAAAAACTAAAAGATACTATTCTCATCCCCTTTTCAGAGACAGAGGGTCAAGTGCTCAAGCACCTCCAACCAGATGATACAGAGCAGCGAGGGCACTAAAACTGGCCAAGGACACTGCCCCAACAGTTCACCAGTCACCATCTGCTTTCTTCACAGGTGCACAATTATAAGACTACTTAGGTTCAGAGAATGACAATAATGGGATTTATTTAACAAACTAGGGAAAACAAAGAGTTATTGAGGCCACAAATAGCCATTTACCTCACCTGAAGCAGTGTCCAGCATTTTAAAATCCTAAACACAAAGGCTTCCAAGATGGTGTCTTCCCACCACTGAATGCCTGGAGCATGTGGCAGCCAGACTATAGGCTAGGGTCCAACTCACGAATACACAACAGGAGATGCTCATGTTGCTGCCAAGGTGCCCCAGCACAGCACCAGACCTAAGTGACGTTCAAAACAGCAGCTGCAACAGCCGAACTACCCGACAAATGGCCACACTCACAGCTCAGCGAGGCGCCCGGCCTCGATCTTCGCCTTCCCTGCCAGGCTGTAACAGCAGTAAAACCGGGAACGGTTTCAGTCACTCAGTTACTTGCAAAGTCTCCGAAATTTTCCTCTCTGAGGTTGGCTGCTGGAGGCCTCTCCCTTTCTTCACAAGCAATGCAACAGCCTTCTGGAAGATCAACATGGTGGGGAGAAATCATTGACCCCTGAATCACTCACTATAAAGATCCAAAAACACTGAAATCTGGAACTCTGCATGCTGGGGGCTGCTTCTGCATTTCCCTGCAGACTTCTTATCAGAGTCTCCACCTTCACTGATACTTTATTTGCATTTTCCCTGGGGCTATCCTTCATAAACAACAGCCCCCTTCAGGGGCGCATCCTTTAACAACCTTTGGCTTCAGCACCCTGTTACAGATGTACCCAAGCTGGGTGCAGGGGTGCAGGGTAAATGGATTAATCAGGCTTTTTGCACCACTAGCCTCTGTGGCTATCACCTGAGGCCTTGATTGTTGCTAATGCAAGAGGTGCTTGGGAGCGTGGGTGCAGGGCACACGTGCCTGATGGTGGACTCCTGAAATATGGGTGTGGGCATGCATAAATGTGCACACCTGAGCCTAGAGGCCAAGGCTATAAAAGTGGTCACTCAGAGCTAAGGACAGCTTTGGGGGGACAATTACGAGAGGACGAGCTGTAGAAGAGGATAGTCCGCAAGACAACACCAGAGAAAGCTCAAAGATTCTCTCCCTTCCTCACCCCCCTGCTCACCCCGTGGCTGGTTGCCCCACTATACTGGGCCATGATATGAGATTTTCTTGGGGTCTTAAAGTTGGTCGAAGGGACTTGTCAAGATTATAAATTCAGTTTACTTTGAAACTCCATTATTCTCAAGTTCGGGTCCTGGGCCTCATTACCAGTTCAACCTGCTCTCTGCGGATGAGGGCCCTGGATCAAGATTTTCTGGCTGTCACATGTGCTCTGAGTTGATAGCTCACATAATTGGTTGTATTAACTTCTTCCTTCAGTGCATCAATGGCACTTAAGAACAATCACCTCCACAGTTCACATAATTACCACTGTTCTTGCAAAAGTAACTATTTTGGGACAATGAAAAGTATAGGCCATGTAGCGATAACAGGGGATTCTAGTGACAAAGTGAGCAGGTGAAGCAGAGAGTTGTGCTCCAGCAAGTTATCACTACAAGTGTTGCACAGCAACCCCGATATAAAACAGGTTGCCTGACTGTGGGTCCTCACCCGCACGCTTAAAGGGGACTTAATAATGCTAAATTGCAGACACACACAGCAGGTTGATAAAAGGTTTATTTATAAGGGAAGGGGAAATGAATAACTCAGGGAGAAAAAGAGGGAGATAAGTTTGTAAATGCATCCTACCCGTTCCACTGACCTGGAATCCCAATGACCTGCTGAGCTGGCAAAAAAAAACCTAGCATTCCGGGTGGCCAAGAAGACAACTCCCAACCACATGGCCAGTGAAATACTCAAACAGAGAACATAGCTGCTTAACCTCACCCTCAGGTCCTTGCAACCTTCCCTTAGGTGATGATGGGATTTATAGTTCCCAGTGTCTTGATGAAGTAGGGGTGGACTCCACAAAGCCTGTATGGAGTTTGCTCAGGACATCCTTTCCCCCTAACGCAAGTACCTAGAGTTTAATCCCATTGGAAATCTGAACCCTAAGTAGATGTCATCCCTCAGAGTTAACCCAGCAAACTGAGGCATTATACATCAGGTCATGCACTGCACATGATGTTTTGGTCAAAAATGGACTGCAACACAGCAGCCCCTAACTTTCTATTGCCTGTTTCTATCATAGCACTTTACTCAGGCAGATGGCTCTGATAGCTTGTGTTTACTGCATTGATAGCATTATTTTCCCTTGTGCTTGATTTAATCATGGTCCCTAAGCACACAAAATCCATTGCTATTGTCACACTTGCCCAACAAAGAAATCTCCTAATGATGCATTTCTCAGAATATACCCTAGTCATCAAGGGACCCAGCACTGTACACACTCAGTAGTGTTGTTCCAGCACAGCATTAATTCCCTGGCAATTCCTGCTGTGCCTGCAATAAAGTGAAATCCAACCACCAGAGAAAAGCTTCTGACAATGAGATACAGATGCTAACAGCTGGAAGTCAGTCTGGTGAGTTCTACAATGGAAAGGTCCAAGTATATGGTCAGGCCACTGATAATGTCTAGCATACCATCCCACCATTGACGAACATCTGGGTAGTTTCTAGATTTTGGCTTGTATGATTAGTGCTATTAGGAACATTCTTGTACATGCCTTTGGTGAACACATGTATGTGTTTATGTTGGGTCTATCTAGATCAGGAATTACTCGTCATAGATACACATATGTTCAGCATATTAGATACCATCAAACTCTTGGGATAGTTAAGGTGAATTGCCATTGTTCCAGGCTATTGGTTTCAATTGATATTTTCCATCCTTTTTTCATTTGAGTCATTCTGTGGAATTTGATATTGTATGTATGTGTTCTATTTTTTCTGATTATTAACAAAATTGTGTATCTTTTTATTCAAAAATCATACATTGTCTCATTGTAAAGTGACTGTTCAAATATGTCATTTCTTATTTAAATAACACTTTGCAATAAGTCTAATTTTTGTTTCTTTTATCATTCATTCACATTTTTGATGTTTTTGAAATCTATCAATGTTTTAATAATATGTTTATTTATTTGATCCAATATTATGATATACCATACAATATTTATCTATATCCCTAGAGATAGGTACCAATTTGCCTTCCAATTTTTTCTTCTCCCATGAAAACACTGTGATGGTTTCTTTCGACCAGTATAAACTTCATTTTGGATTATATACAAGAATAGCGACATCTTTACTGTAGGCCAATAGCAACTAAAATTCAAAACATGTTGCAAGATGGAGAGAAACAATTAACATTCTCCACAAAGCTCCTGAGTATTCCTCTTTTTCTCTTATCCTAGCCAGCTCTTTCCATTTTCCAATTTTGTCATTGTTGCTTCAATTACCTTTTTTCTGATTTCTAGTAAAATTGATCATTTTTCTGTATATTTATTAAAGGTAAGACTCACAGTAGGCATAATGCATATACATGTCTGAAGCTGGTTTCTTAGGGAAACTCTTGGGTAGAAATTGATTATTTACAGTCTCCTGAGCCCTCATTATCCCATTTTCCTAGTATAGCTAGACCTGACATAGCCGGACACATTATAGTTACTGTTCCAGGAAAGTTATTCCATTCACCTTTTTCTTTACAAGTTTACTGGGAAGTTGGGAGAGACAAGAAACATCCAGTTAACTGTGCAATATTGGGTATTGGCTTTCCACTCTTGGGGATGCCCTTTCAAATGAGAGGAATATTCTGTTTGCCTGCATTTTCTATAGGACTCTTGCATTAAGGCAGCTTATTGCTAGGCTAACTGAATGAGGATCTTCTGGGTCATCTAACTGTCCATCCATCCATGCATCCATCCATCCCATGCATCCATCCATCCCATCTGTCCATCCATCCATCCATCCACCCACCCATCCAACAAAGGCCCTGCATGTTCTAAGTCACCTAAGGTCCCTAAGAGGAGAAATGATACCACACAATTCTAAACATCAGGAAATTGTCTCTTCAGTAAAACTTCTAACTTCTCGGAAAAATGAATGAGAAGATTTGAGAAGTACAGTGGAGAAGTATGTTCAAGAAGTTTAGAATCTGAAAAAAAAAAAAAGTAAAATTGTCATTAGAAGGATATGTGAAGAGTATCTAAAACACTTGACTATATCCCCCAAGCTGAAAATATAAGAAAAAAAAATCTGGGATCAAATTAAAGGGTAACTTGGTGTCATTTTTTAGAAGTTTCATTACGTGAAAGCCCATATGTCCTATTTTAGCACAGGAATGCTGCTGACAGTGCAAGAAACCCATGTGTATATTGTGATCTGATCCTCCCAACTCCTGGTTCTTGGGTCATCATAAAAGATTATATGGTTCTCTCCAGAGTGCAAAAATATAAAAGTAGAGTTCCTACTTCATAGATAAATAAGTCCTAGGGGACAAAAAGTGTTCTACTAACAGTTTATTTTGAGTTGAAGTTATGTACCCAAATTAGTATTGATTGCCTCCTGCTGTGGGCATATAGCTTTTCTGTTCTCTAAGACTGGCAAAATTTGGTTGCATTAACAAGATGGAGAAAATGACAACCAAGACTTTTCAGCAAGTCCTGCTACATGGAGCGGTTACAGTTTCCTAAGAGCCAAGATATAGGAAAATATATAATATTCTATGATGGAAGGAATGAGGAGAGATCTACAGAATTTGTGTGATTGATAGAAATATCTATGAGGAGGCAAGAGGATAAAAAGGCTGTGACAGTCTTTAAGGAGGAGCAATTGTCAGTGGGAATTGTTCAAGAAATGGGTTGCAATTCCTATTTTTGCAAATGGTTGCAGGAACCATTTGAAACAACACTATGAGCCAGAGGCTGAGGCAGTTTTAGGTGATTGCTGGGGCTATAAAAGGAAAGGAAAAAGATAATTTCCACCTGCTGACCACATCCAGTATCCCTAGAGCAGACATGTTCATGCAGGAACTGTAGCTTTGGGAAACTCTAATGCCCATCTTTCCTCTGCAAACATATATTCTACATTCATCCAACACTCACCATTCTGCCTCCAATCATGATCTCTGAAGAAAAGTATGGACCCCTGCAATGAGAAGAAAATTTGTGGCAAAAGCATGAAAAATGTAGCACTATCCCTCACTTTCAGAGAGGTCGAATCATAACCCCCCAGGGAATCTATGGTGTGATCCTGAGAGCAAAAGGATGCAAAAATTATTTATATTATGTCCATTAGGTATTGTCAACCCATACAATGCAAATCCCCATCTATTTAGCTGGAGGTCAAGGTGTAACAGGGTGGTGCCCAGGAAAGGGGATGTTCAGGGTTCCCTGCCCCACCCAAATGGAGGATGGAGCTAAGCAGGGAGAGATAGAAGATGCAGAAGAGACTGAGGAAGGAAGAAAGCAGGATGGAGATCCAGAAGGAGACCTGGAGGAGGCGGATGGACCCTAGAGACATGTGAAAAAACTGCGCTTGTCTTTTGGTCGTGGACGGGGTGACACAGATGTGGGTGAGAGACCCGAGGGGAGGTGACAATGGCGGCTTTTATCTTGATTTTGATTTTGTTCTTTTCCTTCTGGGCTTGTCTGGTTCTTTCTGACCCTTTTCTGTGGGTCCCCACTGGAAGATGCTTTAGACTTGTGGCAGGCTTTGGGGCCTTGCTCTGGGCCAATCCTGCTTCGGTGGACATTTACCCATGAGGGGACGGGACGGGTAACTTTGGGTGCTTGATTTAGAAACTATATTCTTTGCCTTTCCTGTATTGTTTCCTAGTTGTATTAAAGTTCCTTCCCATTAAAGCCTCATATGTTTTGTGTTGATGCAGCGGATGGCAGAACCCATTTAGAATAGGCAGTTTTGTGGGGTCTGGGGTGCCCCCTCTCCCTGCCCTGTAATAGACTTGGTGCCCAACATGATTTAGGACAGAGCCTAAAATATAAATAAAGGAGGAAGAACAGTGCTGTCGAAATACAGGATGACTTGAGTCCCTATAGCTCACACAGAAATGTGGTACTCTGAAGCATTACATTTAAAAAGGGAGAGAGCATATTTTTTTTTCAGAATTTTTTTTTAATTTCTTTTTAATTTATTTCTTTAAGACCACCTCCTTGCAGTTTCCAGAGAGAAAATACAAAACAAGAAACAGACTTGGTTTCAAATACATAAACAGTGTGCTGGAGCTGAAAGTATTACTGATAACATTGTTACAGAAGAAAGTCAGCTTACTCCAGGGCACTTCAGTATTCCTGAGGAATAAACATGATTTCTCTTTCCACCCACTGGGATGTCTTGGGTGTCACTCACTGCTCCTGCTCTTTGACATATTTTCCATGTAGAAGATACGGAGCCTGGAAGTCGTGCTGGCAGTTGGAGTAGGCCATCCCCAGTCCCATGCCAGAACCGAAGGCTAATGGCCACATTCTTCTTTTAAAGAAGGTAAGGGAGGAAGTAAGTCCTAATCCAAATCCAGTACTTATCTTCACGAGCGTGTCTGCCGTGCATCGGTCCCACTTCCTGCCGAGGTCAGACTTCGACATGTTCCCCACCCGCAGCTCCAGCTTTCCTTTACGCTTATTATTTTTTTAAAGATTTATTTATTTATGCATACAAGAGCTGGGGTACAGGCCAGAGATGTCGGGGGTGAGAGGATTCACCAGAGACAGAGTGGGGAACAGAACAGGCAGACTGACCGAAGTATACTGCTGAGGGGAGCAGCGGGCGAGGCAGCAGAGGTCTGGTGCACCATGCAAGTTGCTCCCTGGCCGTCCGGGGATCGAACTCATGCTGCAGAGGCTGTGGATTGCTTCATAGTGTGGTGCTTAACCCCTTGAGTCACCAGGGAGGCCCCAAAAAGGGAGATATCTTTATGAACCAAAAGGAGAAATATCTAAGATGGGCTCACTGGCTAGGTAAAATGTAGAGTAGGTGTTGTACATTTGATTTGTGTTAAATATACAAAACTCTTCATCTTGTGCTAGAGATATGAGAACCCTGATTGATCACATAGACTTCCTTTCTCCATTCCCCCTGCCTGACACATAGGGTTTAGGAGCTTCACCTTGGCAGAAAATCCTTGCAGATATAACAATGCTCAATTGTTTAATAAGAGCTCAGTCACTCAAGGACAACTGAGATGGATATCCCTGTAGAAGCCTTTGCAAGCGAGGCTATCATAGATCATCTCTGAGAGGGTCATCCCATTGCTCAGTGGTATTTACTCTCCAGGCCTGGTTGTGACATGAATCACCAAATACCAAACTGGGAAGCCCAGAACAGTGACAGACATAAATAGGACTCCCTAGATAAATTTGATCATTTTGGAAAATTTCAGAACTGGGCAAATATCATTATTCTGATGTTTGCTAATACGTGTTCTATCGGTGACAGGGAGAACAGAGCCCCCTATTCCACAATTGGGTCTGTGGTAATCGGGCCCAATTTTTGTCCCCTTTATGGAATCAAGGGCATCTTCCAACTGCAAGTTTGTGCAGATGCAGTTGGTGTTTGCTTGGTTTGTTTTATGCTGTGCTCTTACAGCCGTCAAGAGGGAGTAGGAGCACCAGACAGTGTGTTTAGCACACCTTGCTTTCCATTGAAGGTATGGTTTTAATAGAAAAAAAAAAAATAGCCTCTTCTCAGAAGTCAGGTAACTTGCGGAGTTTGGACACTGGAGGCTTTATTATTGGAGGATTTGTAGTCTTTTCTCTAGCTCAATCTAACTCATTGATTGACTGCTTGGAAGAACCATGGCAATTCTAGGGGCCAAATAGGTCTGTCTCCCCTTAGTTATTAAGTTGTCTGCTTCTTTGAGTTCCTATTTATATACTTTGTTCTTTTTCCTCTCGGTTTTCCTATTGAAGAGTAATGTACCTGTTTCAGAGACTGTCTGGATCCAAATCACAGCTCCACCAATTAACAAACAAAGGGATTTTGAACAAGTTATTCAAATGCTTAGCTTCTTAAATTAAATAATTAAAAAGTGAATTTTTTTCATCTATAAGTTTATTATGATTAAATGAATTAATATTTTAACTACTTCAAAAAATCTGGAACAATCATGGTTTTTATTAGATGAATAAATTGCCTTTTCTTCTCTATTTCTTGCTGATTCAAAGAAAAGTATACTACAGATATTAATCTGGTATAAAGATATTAATCCTTTATATTGATGTGTATCATATATATATATATGCAAATACAAAGAAATTTATGTTATCTAATCAAATCTCCCTAATTTTTCTTTATGATTTTGGCATCGGCTTAAGAAGTTTTCACTGCCTTAAACTTACCACTATCATATACCAACTTCACATTTATAGTAGGGTCTATTTCTGAACTATTGTTATATTAATCAATTTATCTTTATTTGTATGAATATGATCTTGTTTTCATTATTGTAGCCTTATAATATATACTAAAATATTGGCAATGGGAGAAAATCTCAATATTTTGCTCTAATTTTGAAAAAAATCACCTTACTAATTGACAATTTTTTCTTTATTGACTCGATATATCAAGAAATTCCTAAAATCCTGCTGGCATTTTGTACTAAACTTGCTGCAAATTTATTTCTAAATATTAATGGAATTTACATCTTTATAATATTAATTCATTCCACCCAGGAATGTATGGTTAGCTTCTAGGACATAATGATTTATATACTTAATTGTCATTTTAGCCACACTTAAATGTTCTTCATTAATAGAAGAGTTCATCATTATTTTAGATTGTTACTTTAGATTTCTCACATCAAGTCCAAAAAGAAAGGGAAGAATGTTATTGCAAGATCTCACTAAGATTGTGAACATTGCACTTTTTTCTATTTATGCTTACGAGTAAACAATATCTTTATCACTGCACATAAACTCACAACTGCTTTGCAACACCTGTAGATGGTTGCCTGAGAAGTTTACTCATTTGAGAGTCCCTTGGCACTCTATTTCCATATGCAATGATATATTGGCCGTGCTATAATGCAAAGGTTTTAAACCAAAATCCTACTTGGCCTCTTAGAAAAATATAGTTGTATCCTATTGTAATACTATTTTGAACTGACAGATACTGGTTTTATCTAGCCTAACCATGGATAGTCATTTCGTGATTGATGTAGATAAATACTTTCAAATGTGCCTTATGAAGAAAGAGTGTAATATTGTCACTAAAATGCTTCTATCTGAAAAATCTACAAGTAAAGTTTACATTGGTCGAAATGAGAGAAAAGCTGAGCATGGTTAATTCTAAAAGAAATGACATTTACAATTAGGTCTTGCATAGTACTTGGCAACGCTTCTGTCATTTTAAGAAACCTAAACTTTCTTTCAATGTTTGGTGTCTCTCTACAAAGGATTGAGTTGCAAACTTAGAAAATTTCCATGTGGAAATTATGTGATCTACAAAGCCTAATCATCACTACCTGACCAGCCACTGATAATTATTCACATAATGGAAAGTAATCAGAATTATTTCAAGGTTGGGAATCAGGAACTTGAACACCACGAGCAGTAATTTGCTGTGATATTACACAGCTAATGATTTGCTTTTTTTCTGACAATAACCTATTCTCACACTTATTATGTGCAAATTTTCAAGGAAAGATAGAGAAAATAATCATGAATAAAACACATTCTAAAAATTAATGGAGTTTTCAGGGCAGAGGGGCAGGTACATAAATCAATAACCAGGATAAAGTATGTAAAGTTGTTTATAATATTAATTTGGTAAATCTATGAGATTACAGAGAAAGAAACACCCTATTTAGTGAGAAAAGGGGGATCAGCAGTCTGGGAATCAATATTTCTCAGATATAATATGAGGGCTGAATCTTTAGAGATGAATATGAGTTCAGAATGCAGAAAAAGAATGGTGAAAAGTTTTACTGCATTTATCTTTTTTTTAAAACAACTTTTACTTCTTTAAGAAAAATAATAGCTTATGGGAAAAAAAGCTAAAAAAAATTTGGAAAACAATAAATAAAAATAAATATTTTGTTTTGTTTCCTTTCTGGTCTTGGAGCTTTATAGTTAGTGTTTAAAGATGAAACATGATGTAAAAAACGTTGATTAGACTTTCTGCTATTTGCCAAGCATTGTTCTATGCATAAAAAATCAAGTGATCATAAGATATCCTAGAGAATTTGGATATTTTTACCTCTGTCTAATTGTTGAGTTTCCAACACAGGGAGAACAAAAGGATCTTTCGTGGTCTTGTTTTTTGACAAGGGTTTTCTCTCACTTCTGTGTTCCATTCAAAAATTGTACACTATTGATTATAGAGCTCTTATGTGATCCTCAGGATTGCTTTATTCCATTGAAAAACCATCTTTTAGTTTGTATACTTATTACAGCACTGCAGGAGTCTTCATGGGTGCAATTATCCATGCATTGTTATAGAGAAAATGCCGCAAGGGGGGAAATAACTACATAAAACAACTGAGCCAGATGGATATTTGAAAATAAAACACTTTAAGATATATGTAGTTTTTTGTGGTTAACAACTGTTCACCAGAAAAAAAAACAATATAAATAAACCTTTGCGATTCTTATAGCCTAAGGTGGTTTTGTTGGTGGTGGTGTTCTTTTCAGTCCTCATTTGCATCTCTTTACTTACTTTCAAAGGAAAGAGCCAACAAATATTTTCCTGTTGCCTTAGTGGTTAAAGGGAAAAATAGTTTATCATTTCCTAGAGCAATGCCAGATGACAGAATAGAGTCAATCCCCAGGAGTCTATGGGAAAATTACCAGTTACAGAAAAATAGTAAATACCACATTTGAGACACTGTGACCTGCGAGGTTTAAAATTAGAACTTAAATTGACCATGACCTTACAGGATCTACTACTATCTTTGGAACAATGAGGAGGAAAAGTATCGAAGTCTCCAGGTGGAGAGAGCAAGAGCAAGGTTTCATTTCTTTAAAAACCAAGAGAAAGTAGAGCTTCAAAATCCCAAAGGACCACACGCATGCAGAATCTGGTAACATTAAGACTGAAATAATAGTAAAGATATCTTTCAGTCTCATACTTTCTCCCAAGATTGTGTCTCACCCCAAATGACCTCACAGATCACGAATGGAAATGAATTGACATTGTTTTGTTCAATATGACTTTGAGGACACTGTTTCTAGTGTTAAAATCTTAGTATCTTGTATCTTGTTCATAGTATCTTGTTCATAGTATTTGCAAAGAATGACATAAATGCAAATGCTAAGGTAAGTATGTCAGGTACAGTGTCAGCTTCTCATTATTCATTGTTTTGAAGGCTTGGTCATAGTAACTAAACTTCTACATATCACTTTACTTCACCCTAAAGGGAAGTAAAAATAGCCCCTTACTCAAAGTGAAGTGAAGGTGCAGTGGAGGGTTCAGCCCTGAATCTGGCCTGTAGAAAGAATGCACTATTAATGCTTATGAATAGTCATAGTACTATGATCAATAAATCAAATGACTGCCAAATTCCACATTTTAGCAGTAAGGATAATGGGATGAAAATTTGTTAATAATAAAAATCACTATTTAGGCTTTAAGTGAAATTCCTCTTCTTTCTTTGTGGTCTTTGGAG